AAGGAAAATGTCAGAAATGTAAGCTTATATTTGTGCACGATGCAGTGGTTCCTTCAAGCAGCTGTTTCTTCAATTTCGAGGTCAATTTCAAGAGTTCAGTTCGCATTCCACAGTAGGAAAAAAGATGGCAGCTGTACATTTTAGCAAAATGCCTTGCGAACCTAACACAGCCTATAAGGCACAAAGAAAGCCTTTTTTTACAATATTTGCCCCTGTACTAAGCACATTGAGTAGCCTAGATTTGAAGAGTTTATAACATTTCTGTGCATTTTTATGAATGTTGTTAAGGTTTTCATGCGCTAAGAACTATGGGTAAATGTACCAGTCGCCATCTTTTTTCCTACAGAGGATTGAGTGAGTCAAGTGAGCGAGCAAAACTGAAACCCAGGAACTTAAGTTAAATAATTCATCAGAAGCTACCAATATTTGATAAATCTTCCTTTGTTAAAGCCCAGAAAAAGTATTATCTTTAAAGTTTTGGAACAGAAGGATTTCATATGCAAGACTCTCATGTACAAGTTTTGCTTGCTGAAAGCATTTAAATGGCTTTCGACAGAACCTCAGTGACCAATCACAAGCACAGACTTTAGAATTTCACCGGAACATTAGGAGCGCTTACCATTTACATGGAGAAACCGGTTATTCCAGTGTGAATTCAAATGGTACGGTTCTTTCAGGTGAATTTTTTTCGGGAAAAAGGTAATACCTTCGGAGGTATTACTTTTTTCCCAATTCAACCGGAATTTCTGAAAATTTCCATACCATTTGTCAATAACTTGATGCCAGGCTCCCTGCGGCAACATTTCCGAGAAGAAATGCAAGATGGCGAATGAGAAATCTCTGCAGATGCACTTAGGATCAAATAGTACGGCTCAATCTGATCCATTTCCTTGGAGAGGAATACTGCAGTTCCATTTGTCCAAAAAATTCCACAGGGAATTCCATTCAAATGGTAAGCGCTCTAGGTCGACATGTCCACCTGAGGCCGCCATTTTTTGCCTAACTGATTCGCGCTCGTATAGACCGGAGCTGACCTTTTTCGTGAGAAAAGAGGCCTAAAAATAGACTGGTCTTTAAAAATACTGTGACATAGGCTTAGTATGGGAGTTGCAGGCTCCTAGTGATGGGCTCCTGACCAAAGTTGACTCTAGCAGGGTACATGCATGAAGGGCTAACAGCATATCGCAATGCATGTAATGCATAATAGAGCGATTTCTGAAGAGTATTTTATTTGGCAAGTACAGGAAAGATGAACACTTTTGCTTTATGATATGGCAGAAGCCCATAATGGGTTCCTGGATATGGCTCAAACTGTCAGAGTCAAGTGCCCAAAATTAATAAAAATCTTGAGTTGCCATTTGGCGACCAAGCGATAAAAATCAAGTAGGAATTTTACTCAGAAAAGAACTCAAAGTATAAAATGTGTAAAACAAAAATTTCCAAGAC